AAAAGTTCGCACTGAAAATTCAGTAAATCTTTTCGTTTTCTTGAAAAGATTTAGCGGCGGCCTTTCTCTAATTAAGTGCATATAAAGTGTAATTTTTATACAAACTGCGCGAATTTATTGTTGCTATACGTTCGTATTGTGTGCACTTCGAATTTCAGCATCGATCGAAGCTCGCAAAATGCGTTCTTTCCCTCTTTCCCCTGTGCGACTTTCACGACGCAAATTCAGAATAACCTCGGAAAATGCAACGTCTCCGGGAGTGCACTCTGAATATAATATAACTCCCCGCGGCGGAGAAGCTTTTCTCCTACTCCGACGAACCGACATCTGACTTCTCGTGTATCACAAAAGAGAGAGCTGCGCCGGAAGACCCGTGTGTGCTCGCGAGGCTCGCGGGCAGATTTCCGTGTGGCGCTTCGTTTGAAGTGGTCCCGAATCCCATTCCAACAGTCAGTTTCGGTCCAACCCCGCGTAAAGTTCAGCACGATGTATGCAGATGCGCCGGATTTATAAACGGCCCTACGTATGGCTATTTACAAATACATACATCGTGCAACGTTCCTAAAAGCTTAGCCCGTATTCGCCCGCGTAAGGAGAACTTAATCCTCGGAAGGCACTATCTACGGCCTTTACCTAATTTGAAAGTCATATCAATTTAAAAGTTAGAATATCGATCGGTACTGTATAATCTATAATCTTGTGTATCGCAAAATGTAAAAAGAAAAACTTTATGTAAAAAATAAGCTTCGATAAGTTAATATTCATAAAATTAAATACGACAAGAGAAAATGACCTCTACTATGAACTTATTTCCATTACCGATCAAAATTATCGTTATATTGCTAAATTTTACACGATTCTTCTGCATTTTTCTAGCTTTGAAGTTTAGACTTTTAACTTTCTCGTTAGGATCAAACAAATAGTGTCGTACGTGACGTTAAGCCAAGGATGTATGAGAACAAGATGAACCCGACGGAAGCCGAAAACGAATGAGATACATCATCCGCGCGAAAACCATTCCGGCATACGTCTCCGCAATTATAGGATAATTTCTCGTAATTCCGTAATTAGTTATTTCTTGCTACTCCATCCATGTATGTCGGCCAACTAAAGGATAGCTTGTTACAAGCTGACATAGATATACCTTTATTCTACGCCTGCGGTGATGTACGCTCGGATGCTTTTCAGGGGGTAACGTACAGCGATTCAGCTGATGCACATTATGCACACAGCGCGCGTCTCCTGCACCGGCTAGCAAAAGCTCGACCAACGACGTCGCCGCTGATGCGCGACGCTGCTTGCGTAACGCACACGCACGCCGCAACCGCCACGCCGGCTGACCCACATGCGTGGTCTTTATTTAAACTGGTTTCCTCCTCGGCGTCCTTTAGACCCGACTTTCGTCTGTGCTCCGGTCGCCGGGTCACCGGATTCGAGAGCGTCATTTTCCGCGGGACTGCTGCTCGGGAAAGGTCGGCTTGTATACATATTTGGCGAGTGACTCGCAGAAAAACAATTAGTCCGATTAGTCTGTAGTTCGAGATGATATTACACAAAAAAAATTAAAATTTTCCTAAAAATTTTTTCTGTAATATTAATATTTTTTATAATTCTTCAAAATAAAATTTAATAAAACGAATGTGTAATATATTTTTTATGATATACGTAACATGTACATTCTTATTACTTCGTTTTTATTAATAAATATCAGACAGATTATGACTTTTTTTATAATAATGCACGATGTTAGAGAAAAATGACGTAATTGCGGAATCATCTCTTCGCGTAGACCACACGGTGAAGTTCGAATTTGTTCGCGGTAGACTTATGGAACCGCGAAAATTTCAATTGCAAATACCCGTCGACTTTGATACCGAAGGGAATAACGAGCTCCCGAGACGAGCGTTTTTTAAGCATCAACGCGATCCCGCCTCGTCGAATATTCTTGTTTCTCAAACGTATGTAAAGTTTGAATAATACAGCACAGAGAAAGGCGAAGAGGTAGCGCGCAAAAAGGAGCAACGCGGAATAAAAATGCACCATTACGTTTCTATCGATCTCTGCCACTTTTGCATCGACGTTGTACGGGTTGCAAGATCTCTTCAGAGTAAAAACAACAAAGTAATTATAATTTTAAAAAAGGACATTTTTATAAATGTACACCGTATACACTTTATGCAAATTCGTTCAAACACTATGACCCGAAAAACTATTTTATCTAATAAATTATTATCAACTGCAACTCTTTCATTATTTTTCTCACATTCTTCGTATCTTTCCTTCTTATATATTACTGCGTTATATGTCTTTATGATTAATGTTATTTTAATTCATTAAGATTTTTTTATTGCAAACTATAAGCGATTGCGAAGAACACTACCGAAAATGTTTAATTGCTAATCATCATTAGCACTTGCCTCGCGTCAACTTGCTCTTGATTAGCACGCATATTACTTAAATATTCAAACCCAGATCGGATACTCCTCTCAATTACGCTCGCGTAATACTACGGATATACTCAGACAACATCGTAATACGAGCGCGCGTATCAGATTTCGCATCTCCTAATCGAACGAGCGTTGCAAACGTTGCTTTATTTCTAGCTGTTTGCACACTATCATAAGGCAACCTGCTTTATAACACGAGGTGGAGTAGTAATTCGATTCTGGAAAAATGAGAAAAACTTTCCTTTCGTCGAGCCACTCACTCGCCCAGAATTTCCTCATCCCGTTGCGAAACACAAATGCGCGAAAAGCAATGCGCTTAATAACTCGATATTACAATATCAACTGGCCGCATCCGTTTTAAATTACGCAAACCGTATAAATTTGCTGAATAATTTGCGTATTTTTATAATGGAATAATTACCAAACTTTACGACTACTTGGATATCATTTATTGATGGATAACTATCAATGATTTGCTGAGTTTAAAAAAGTTTTTCAAATTGCCATACTAACACATAAAAATTCTATAAAATTTCGAAACGTTAGCAACTTCTGCTCTCGTGTATTATTTACCACGATATCATTTTCATCACCTTGACATTTGTCGTCAAACGGTTCGTGTTCTTTGGCACTCACGCGACGGACATTTATGGAAGAATGCAAATTCGCAACATAATCTTCGTGAGTAATCAACGCGCGTACTCCCGCGGGGACTCGGGAGCTGCTATAACCGATATACCATTGTCGTCGACGGTGCAGCAGGTCGTAGAGACAAGTTCGTAACCAGCCAGGGGTTGTTCTCTCTTGAGAAGACGCGCGGCACGAATTCTCGGGATTCTGCCGCGATGCACGCGCGCGGCGGCCGTATTCCCAAATCGATCGCGACGGGCGACGAGGTATACGAGGGAAAAGGGAAGCGGAAGAAGCATCCGGCTGAATTCCGCCGATCCGGTTCTCACCTCGTCGAACAAGTGCACGAATTCCGTGAGGACGGTCGAAAACTATGAATATACACCGTGTGTCGGCGTATTCGTGTACAATTCCCCCGGGGGGAAAGGCGCGCGCTCGCTGGCTCACTTCCTAACGCTGGGAAGCCACCGTCGCGTCTCGCGTGTTTCACCTTTCACCGAGCCGTCGTGTCGTTATCATGCAAACGGTGATTTTCCACGATTCATAATGCAACGCATCCGCACGTCAGGTGTCGCAAAGCTCATGCCTAACTCCGGCAGAAGCAGGATGAACGGCGCTCGATTAGAGGAAAGAGGTTTGATTCATTGCGCTCGCGATGCGATATGAATATAAATCATTGGATTGGATTGTAAGGAAGGAATGAGACGAGCTGTCCAAAAATGATCTATTGAAGAATCTACATCCATAGAGAGTAATTTACTAAATAAACAAAATAAATATTTCTAACAATTTTCTAATTATTCTGATTTTAATATTCGATATTTTTCGTTGTATCGAATTTCTTTTAGAAGCTTTGTTAGTGAAATAATTTAACGGAGAATGCCAAGAATATTGCATTTCATCGTCTACATTTCGGAGCTAAAATTTTTTATTTAGTTTTTTGAAGGATTATTCCCGAGATTTTCATATTTGCGAGTATATAGATATATAAGCTCATATGTAAAAAGCTTCTTTACAGTAAAATTCATGCCAAGGCTATACTAATTTAAATCCAATGTACACGTATGTATATATAGTAGAATATACGTAATATATAAAGCTATAGCTGTACGGGAAATTCTATTCAACAAACACGATGGTAATGTAAAAGGATTAACGAGCGCCGTTCTGGCCGAAGGATGAGCAGCATCTCCCCGTTCCTTAATCATAACAATAGCAAATATTACTCGATGATAACTGTATTAGGGCCGATAAAATACTAGGCCTGCACCCTCCGGCTTCCTGCTTGTTTGCCGAGCCGAAACGTCCCGCCGCGCAAACATTCGCGCAGACCGTACAAACCGCTATCTTCTTTCCCCCTAGGAAAGCTACGGTCGCGTGAGTGGCATTACGGGATTATTAGCGGACGGAAGACTCCGCAGGCGTCTCTTCTACACGGCAAGCAGTCGCCTACATATTTGATGAACAACGGCTGTACAACGAGGCGCGCATTATACCATCGCTCTTTCCCGTGTTCCCCTACGGTTCGTCACGTGTGAGCGCGTGAAACTATTTCAGAATCGATACTTCAACGCGAGCATCGAGAATATCTTTTCTACAAACAACAACTTTTCGCGCCAGATTTATGCTACATCTCGTACGATCATAATTGACGACTTGTTGCGATGAGTAACGCGTAAAAGAGGGAGCGAAAGTGATAATTAAATTAGCAGTAAGTTTTCTTTGCGCCAAAAGAGATTTCTTGCTTCCTTGGTCACAGTTTGACCAATTAACGGTCTCCTGGCTATTAACGCAAATTATTCGGTAAATTGTACGGTTTGCATAATTTAAAACGGATGCGGCCAGTTGATGTAATAGTTATTAAACGAAGCGATACCGTGCACATTGCTTTTATCGTCGCGTATTAATTTAACGTCGACTCACCGAGTTAATGGCTGTCATGCTGCTAACTCGACCTGGATCTGTGTCCACTAGCCCGCTGTCACTCTGTAACAGAAACAGAAAGATAGTTTAGAGGATGGGTAGGATCGATAATTTACTCCTACTGCTGCTTGCACTCGAGCTAAATTTCGTATAAATCACTGCCGCGCGTTAAAACGCGTTCAGATTGGCGTAGAAATGGAAAGGAGAGTAATTTAAAGACATTTCTTTTTTTCTTAATGTCGCCGTTTACAACACGTTTTCGAAGCGCAGAAGCGAATAATTTCCCGATGCAAAATTGCAAGCGAAACGTATTGTTAATAATTTCGGAAATGCAATATTGCGGAAAGTGAACAGCATTCATATGAAAATCATTCGCGCTGCGGAATCCAAACGCATGTAAAAGCCGAGTGCACTCCACCACTCGCTATGAAATTTTCTGTAATCACTCGCCGCTAGAAACTGGATTTCATCAAATGTACGCTGTTTTTTCCGTGTTATTGCTTCGCGATGAATTAATCAAAATCAAGTTTCACGTTTAAGCAGATATAAAGTATATCCGAAAATTAAAATAAAATATTAACGTTATATATAAATACATCTCTCTCACTCTCTCCCCGTCGGAATATTTCAGTACGTATCATCTGTATGTTACAAATGTAAATAAATTCTTATGCGGGCGCAAAAATATCTCAAATTTCGTTCGACAGCGTAGCTCGAATTGCACGAAGTAACGCGGAAACGCGATATCGGAGCGGATATGAAATATTTCAAACAAAACGCTCTCTCGTCGGAGCAGAGGCTCTCGAAGGTTCCGCGGCATTTTTCCTCGGTCGGTCAACGCGCTAAACATTCTTTGCACTCCGCGTATCGCATTTTATGAACGTCTCAGTTTCTTTCATTCGCTAGCCTCCCCGGCGTTTCAATCTCACGAAGCTCGCCACAGCAAAACGCGCTCGCTCGGATTCATTCGCGAATTTTTACCATCCGGATATAACCCGTCTCTCGCCCGCCATCGCGGGTCACTCCTGATAGATCTGGATGGCGAGACCCGGGATTACCGAGACGGAAATTCCCCGGAAAGGAAATGACGGCGAGTCATTCGGGCATGTCGGACGAAAGGGAGGGATACGTTGACGACGAGGACGACGGCAACGAGGACGATGGCGACGACGACGGTTGAGAGAAACCGTGAAACCGGCCTCGTAGGGGGTGCAGACGAAGAAATAATACAAAGGATGGAGGAGTAGAGGGGGGCGGCGATGGCGGTGGCGGCTACGGAACCGACGAAAGAGCCGACGTGCAAATGTCGTTCTGAACTTTGATCGTAAAACAGCGGCAGACTTCTCGGGTGGGTGGAGCATCCGTCTTGAACCGCTGCCAAATCGGTTAAGCGCGAATAAATTTCCGTGTCAAACTTCGTATGAACGAAGGAGCCGACGGTTCCTGCGTGTCGGGCAAGGTTGGACTTGGTGCTGGCGGAAATGGAACGGAGGGCTCTAATGTCTAACGCGGGCTAAAGAGAGCGTGGAGCTAAGTGAAAAAGGAAGGAAGAAATATGTTCGCATCAATACCCACCAATATTAATTGTTGTGTGATGAAGATAATCCTTAGCACATTACTGTCTTTTTTAATGATAATTTTCTTTATAATAATAATATCGAGAACATTTTAAAAAATTATATTAAATTGTAATATAATGTTAAAGATTACAAACGAATTGCAAATCTTATAAATTGATTAAAGCCTAGTATTTTATCAAAGTTTTATCAAGTAATTAAAGTTTTATCATTCATAAGTTTATTCCAAATAAAAGAAAAATGTTCTAGACAAAAAAAATTTAGACAATAACTCAATGTATAAAAGAGCAATATGTGCCTTTAAATAATTAATCATTAATTTAACTTGTATGTAATGTTTTCTCAATTACTTTCGGTAAAACACACGGCTTTCGTAGACCAACCGGTCATATAATAAACGGTAATAAAAACCGAAAGCGTAGCATAGCGAGAAATTTCCCCCGAGTCATTCCATCTCGAATAAAAGCTCAACTTACATATTGTTCTAACGAGCAGAGAGCTCACGTATAATGAATAAACAGCAAACGCGGGCGAGTCTCGCGCTACGCCATTACGCGCCAACATTGCGAAACGCGCGGCAAAAAGACGTATCTAACTGTCGGTTTGTCTAACAGAGGCGGGACGAAGAGTAACCAAGGCATGACGAAGATGTAAAGGTGTCGTCCCGGGATGCCCGAGGAATACAAAGTCGTGAGCCGTACTCGACGGCTAAAACGAAACGGCGAAAAGTCATAAAACCGTATTATGACCGCCTCATAATTTACGGCGGAGCGACCCGCGCGAAATCGCCGTCCACTTTCTGCCGCTGGATTTATGATATGGCGAAGCATGCACATTGTTTCGCTAGGCAGCTTTGCGACGAGGAAATCCTATACGAAAATCAATTATCAAAATAATGTCTGAGTGATAAAAAGATCACTTTAGTTAAATCTATTGTGTCAACTTTAAAATTGCATAATTTAATGTTATTAAAAAACGAAGAAAGATTTGATTGATCAATAATACAAAACATACTGATAAAAAATATCGCAAAATAAACATATGAAAGCAAACACACACGAGATGTTGCATTACATAATAATCTCTTACAATTTCTACTCAATTCATTACCGGTCACTCGTCACATTTGCGTAATGCAATTCGCAATGATGGCACAAGTTTCAAATAGATTCTATTCGCCGATATATCTAAATTTTTCGATAAGCTTATTTAAGGTATTTCTTACGAACGCGAGAATTAAAGTAAAATACAGGTCAACATTGTCAACACCTTAATTTCAACGTAGTTTGAAAGAATCGATTTAACAACGATCTGCAATCCTGCGGACGGGCCGATTATGCAGCGTCATGCAACGTCACGAAGCGGAATGAGAAATCCTAGAGCACGTCGACGCATGTCGAGCGACATATAGCGCGAACGCGAAAGGTCGTCGGAGCTTCATTACGCTCTAGCTCGACAGCCAGGAGGGTCGAAGTTAGGCGAATGTTATTAACGTTCTACCTAAATCCCTCAGAGATCCTCCGAAACGCGGCGCATCGAGCACGGAAATGGGCACGATACACGAGTTAGGCTAACGGAAGATGGTTAGAAACGCGCGCGCGGGGCGCGTCCTTTCACCCACGCTCCGAATTTGCAGATATCCGTATATCGGATATCCGACGTACGCAGGGCATATCCGCAGGCCCTCCGCACAGTTCGCGACGTTCGATAATCTAAAATTTCCGCGTCCGGCAATCCAATTTTTTAAACGGAAGTTCCATCATTAATAAAAGCGTAAACGGTATACCATAATGCGATATCGATGCGCGATAAAATTTAGCTCGCAGGATTAATTTTATTGCGATGATGTGCAAAAAAAAATGGCAATGATTAATTTAGATCATCTATCGGGCGCAACGTCCGTAACTACACGGGGAGTCTGAATTAATCGCACATTCGTGAAATGCGAATCATTCCGGATTGCTGCAAATGAATATCGGGTAACGCCGCGCAAATCTCGTTCGTGGCATATCCAATATTCGGAAATCGCGTTTTCCGGGTAACGGATTATACAAAGCAAACATTATAGCATTCAATATTGCACAACACTTCAACGCACGGAATAAAAAGCGCTGTTAGTGCGTTACGTTCATCGTCGGTTTTAATGAACGACTAAGTTCGTCAAAAATATCAACGCGTACAAAGCATGTAGAAATTAGTACTACATTATTATTACTAACTCGACAGTTACGATTGCATGAACGAACGTTGGTTCGTTTATTCAACGAGCTCCGAGTCGCTGCCAGACATTCCCAATGGAAGGAACGAGGACGTGAAGAGTGAACTATTGCCGGCGACCATTTTTCAATATTAAGGAGGCTTTAGGGATGATTTAAATAAGCTCGAGAAAGCTCGGCGGTACGCGACCTGAAAAGTCGGACTTCTTCGATTTATGGGAAGACGTCGGAGACAGCTTAGAGTCTCTCTCTTTGCGCGCTCGCATTTAAACCTCGCCGTATCTTCTGCGCTGTTTCTCTTTGCTACTTCTCCCTGTACCACCTCGTCTCTCATCGTTTTTATCGCTCGCCGGATCGCAAACGCGAAATCGTAAAAACCCAAGTTTATTGACGTAAGACTGATCAAGATTGTTGTTCAGATAAGGAAGTACGACTTCGTTCGATTCACGTAATCCGCGTACGCGCGTTCGTTCGACATATAAAACTTGAAACTCCTTTGATCTCTATATAAAACTTTTTATATTTTTTGCTTAAAATTAAGATTTATATTTAAGGTTTATTTATACACTAAGGAAAATTGTTAGTTATATTGATCAGATCTAAATCCACATTAATGGAACAAACATTCATATTTGGAGAATTACAATGAAGCTTAATTGTAAAATATTTTATTTTGTAATAAAATTTTCTCCACATAAAAATATTTAGAAATTTAAAAAAATATCTAAAATCTTTTTCAATTACTGCATAACATAGTCACGCTTTTGTAAGGGAACAACCGAAGAAATATTTTCCGTCAAATCGATCAACAGCGTCTTGAAAATCATAAGGGAAGAGTCACGTATATTAAAAACTTTTTGAAGTGTTGACAAAAAGAATAACTCTTCGGCAAACGGAAGTGTGAAAGGTTGATTGATGTCCGATCGATAGCCGTTCGACTCAGAAGGGAAACGAATGCGGAGTCCGCGATAATTCACCGACAATCTCTCGACACGCGCCGCGGGTGTTAAAAATAGGGAAGGAGAGATGGACGCGCGCGAGAGCAGCGAGTTGTCCGACATCGTCGACATCGGATAACAAGAAGCAGGCCAGCGAGGAGCAACATGATGAAAAGTGACTCTCCCTTCTCCCTTCTCTCTCGGCCGCCCTACCCCGTTTTCGCGAACGCTCTTTAGCGCATAATTAAGCAGCTCCGCGTCATTCGTCACAGACGTTTCGCTGGATTTTAATTTAAAGTTATGATTCATGACAATGCAGCGGCGTCAGCGTA